TTCATACGCTGGTGCGTGAAATTTTTAACTGTTTTTCAATGTTTGAACTATTTTTGCGTAGACTAAGGTACAAGGAAGTGAAAATCATTAACAGGCAATCGTGTAATGGGCTGAATTGCACAAAACGCATGATCGCACCGGCTAGTCTGGTGCGCGTTGCCATTTATTTTTCTTGAAAGAGGACCGTTTGCACAAATTTTGTGTGCAACAATTTTCGAGCCTATACCCATTGTTTGACCTCAAAAATTGAGCGTTTCCCATGAAAACAGCATCTCCGGTTTATTTTTGTCTATTTTGCTTTTTTTTCTACTCGACTCGCTTGGAAATTTGTGTGGTTTCGGCATGATTCAACTAAATCTCTGCCTCTTTTCCAGCCTGTCATTGAAACTGACGATTTTGGCCTTTCCTGATCATACAGCAAACAGTGATGAACAGCAGAGGATTAGGTGAAGAACAAATCTCCACATATGATTAAAACGCAAATTTACGCCAAGCAAATTGGGCCCTCCTTAGGTGAGGTTGTAGATCGAGACCCAAAAATAAGTTCGAGAAGCTGATATTATAGTACTGCATTGTTACAGGGTCAAGGACTAAATTTCCAGAAACCTTCTAGCTGATTTGGTCGCGAGGATGAAAGTGTGCGGCACAAATACACACAAACAGACAAGGTTTAGATGAATGTGCGCAAGTGCATCTACGTAAATGCAACAAATGCATAAAAATGGTGGCAAACATTCATGCCTTCCTTCATTCGCGCCCCACAATGTTTCTCACATTCAGGCGTTGGCAAAAAACGAAACACTTTTGAGAGAGATTTTGGTTGAAAATGATGGAATCCACTGGACGGCAATTCGAGGAAACATTTTTCGTGCTTAACGGATTAATGGCTGTTCACAAGAAACATAAGAAGTAACGCTACATTTCACGGCACCGGCTATACAAAAACAAGGAACAGACGGCTTCTACGGCTCCAAAGCATTAGTGATGGGAGAAATATCTGCTGCTGGTGAACCTGTTTTCTGCCACCAGTAAAGTTGTCCTAAAGAAGGACACCGGACGGCACCCTGCATGTTTATGGCAAAATTTTACACTTCTGTGAAAAGAACACGAGCAAAACTGTTCACAGTTACAAGTACCAGGAACTTTGGCCTCCTTATCATTACTTCACTGCTAGGCGTATGCAGTGTTTGTTTTCGAGATGCAACCGCATGACTTCGCACAATAGCTTTTTTATCGACTGCCAACCGCCGAGTATACCGAAAGAGTAGTTTTGCACCGTCGAGGCTAAAGTTTCGTAAAAAGCAGTGCAAAAAGGCCGAAAGCTACAGATGTGGAGTGTATTTCATATTTTCAGATTAATTCCAAACCCGATAAGAAGTTAAATTTCAACTGATTTTGATCCTGACAAGCTCATAAGACAGGGTTACTTTCTCGTTTGGGAGTGTTAAAAACCAGCGTAAAAATCTTGTTCCACAACCAGTTCATGCCCTATGAGAGGCGGGGCACCCAGAATTATCCTGTATGGACATTTATTAGGTAAAAACCAATTTTTAATTTGAAACCCGAGATAAAAAAGCCTTCCCGCTTTGAAGTAAAATTGGTTTTAGAAAAATAAAATCTCAGTTTACGTTACGAAAATGATGCTGTTTATTGTTTCGCCTGAAAACACTATCACTGCTAGGTTTGTAAAACGACTGAAAAATTTTTACCTGCTCGCTGCATTTAACCCCCACCATTCGGCTCTTTTTTTTCAAAAGAATACTTGAATAGCCTGAGTGAAAT